GGGGGGGAGCATTGAGATGGGGAGAGATTGGGACAGGGGTGAGGGGGGGATTAAGATGGGGAAAGGGGAGAAATTGGGACAGGGGTGAGGGGGGAGATTGAGATGGGGAAAGGGGAGCGATTGGGACGGGGTGAGGGGGGATTGAGATGAAGCAATGGGAGAGATTGGGACAAGGATGAGGGGGGATTGAGATGGGGAAAGGGGAGAGATTAGGACAAGGGTGAGGGGAGGATTGAGATGGGGAGAGATTGGGACAGAAGTGAGGGGGAGGATTGAGATGGGGAGAGATTGGGACAAGGATGAGGGGGGGATTGAGATGGGGAGAGATGGGGACAGGGGGGGGGGGGGTGATTTGAGATGGGAAGAGATTGGGACAGGGATGAGGGAAGGATTGAGATGGGGAAAGGAGAGAGATTGAGACAGGGATGAGGAGGAGAATTGGAATGAGGACAGGGGAGGATTGAGATGGGGAAAGAGATTGGGAGTGAGGAGAGGCCTCACTGGGACAGGGTGCCCTATCAAGTAGTGGGAACTAGAGTGTTCTCTTTCCTGCTGTGCCGCTACTCTGCCTCATTGTGGGATGTGACTGAAAGTGTGATACAGTTTGATGGACATGCTGTCACTATTATTGAGGGTCTGACAAAGGACAGCAATATCATCTGGGCATGGCTAATTCTCACAAAATGGATTTGGCTATCACCTTTGGCTTGGAATGTCTTTTAACGAGAGAGGAATGCCTGGTAACCGCTGTGAAAGATTGAGATGGGCACATGCTTTCCGACCCAACAAGGGTTTGTTCTGATCCTGTAACTTTAATAGTGTTTTTATTAACTTTATCATTGTTGGCAAATGTTACACCAAAGTGATCTTTAAGTGAAAGGCTGTGGCCTCCCAGATCCTACATCTGAACGGACTGTAACAAATGATTGAAAGTTTGAACAAGCTCTTCCTGTGTCTGTGTCTTCCACATATTGATTACGCTATGTAAATTTTCAATGCTGAGATGTGCTGCTAGGATCCCTGGTTGGACCAGCAAGTTCAATAATGAGGTTATCAGGACTGAAATAAGCATTTAAGGCTGTTAGGACTGACTGGAACTCTGCTGAGGATTCATCAACACCTTGCCTGCTAACGATCTCTTCAGCAATGGGGTGCATTGTTAAAGAAAGTACTGACCTGGAGCAGTTGCTGTTTCAATGGAGGACCTTGGGGGCCACACCCCAGAAATAGGAAGGGGAGGGAGAGCCTATGCTCTCGGGGACAGAGAAGAGAACAGCCTGTGATCGGGACTGAGTCTTCCACAACTCCCAACAAAGTGCCTGAGTCAGTTCTTTGTCATCATCGACGGGCCTAGAAGAGGCAGGGATTACTGAGCTGAGGCAGATATGCTGCCACTGTGGAGTATTCCTCACTTCACAGAATCTTCACTAGCTTCACCTCACTAATGAGCTCGTTGTATTCAGGAAATTTTCAGAGAATCTTCTTGTCTCAGAGTTCAACCATGTCTTGTGGTTGCTCAATCTTGCCGTGTTGTTTAGATTCATCTGACAGAAACACTGTCTCTCTCAGACAGCTGTCTCCCTCACTGCCACCATATTGGATCCTGTTCTATCAGGGCTGTTCAAACAAGCTCAAGCCAGACTCCTGAGTTATCGTTAAACAATGTTTATTATTACACTCTGCATGTTGGTAAGACTGCGGAGCAATATGCTCTGAGCTGTATAAGGTCCACCATTTTGGTGAATACGTGACTCCAGAGATCCATGGCATATCTCAGGAGCTGATCTTTGTGTTAAACCTTATGTCTATAGCCGTGACCTTCTCCCACTTTTGCCCCCAAGCTCCTTGGAAGACCACAAAGCAACAGTGAACTTTAAACTGGGCTCCCAATTGTATCGGAGAAACCGGAGTTAATACGTTAGCAAAGTTAGCAAATCCGTTTACAGCAGGACGTTTGGATAGCACTGCTATAACAAGGCAGCTGATGTTTGCTAAGTGCATCAGGGTTCTGTTCCCTGGATTTAAGTCTTTAAGCCAACCCTGTACTCTTCCTAATTCACTCCCACCCATCAATAGGATTGAGCGGGGAGGCAGGATTGATATTCAGGCCATTGATGTATGAAAGAACAAAGCCGTGTTTCTAATTTCAGGCTGACATTTCTCAGCAACCACACAGAGTCCCAATTACATAGCACTCACTTCAGGTGAGTACACAGTCAGGGGTATGTCATCTATGACTTCCAAACGACCAAAACCAGTGGCTATTTTCATAAGCTATCTGGAGAAGCTCTCACTGGGAGCGCCTCAACCCTGCACACATCCCCTATTTCCACTTACTGCCATCACTGAATCTCCCTCGTCATCCGTGAAAGCAGCCCATAAAGTCTGTGGTACCATTGGCCAAGCAGCAATAAAACCAGAGGGACCAAATGAGACTTCAGTAAGTGACTGAAGGCCAGAGGGACAGAAATCCAATCTCATTCTTCCAACAAGAGGTCACTCACACCATGTGTGGGGCATAGAGAACTGGGGACACAGTGTTGGTGCCTTATCACTGGCCTATTATCCCTTCAAGCCTGCCTCCCAGACAGGGAGATCTTTCAAATCCGAGAGGATTCCACAAACAGAGGTAGATAATCAATACATCAGTCACCTTCACTGAGGGAGCAGGTTGCATAGCGATGGACTGGGAGCAATGGATGTCAGGGAATTCAATCATGGATACATTGGAAAAGCTGAGGCTGTTCTTAGAGATGAGAAGGATGTGAAGAGATTTGATATAGTTGTTTAAATTCCTGAGGGAGCTGGACAGAGCAGTAGGGAGAGACTGTTTGTATTGACTGAAGGATTGAGAACCAGGATTGGGAATGTCTGAGAGTGTGATAAAGGCAGATTCAGTAGTTGGCTTTCAAAAGGGAATTGGATAAGTAGCTAATGAAGAAAAGCAATGAGGAAAGGGCAGGGAATGGGACTAGCTGAGTCACTCTTGCAAACCGTGGGCACGGACCTGATGGATGAATGGCCTCCTTCTGTGCTATAATTATCCTGCAAATTTAACTCACGGCTGACTGTAGCTGACGTTGAAGTAAAGGCTTAGCTTGTGCCGAACTGCACTGCACAAGAGTGGAGTATCCTATTTTAATTCTCCATACCCAATGAGAATGATTGGTAGAAAATGTTAAATTATCATCAGTGTGGCACTTACCTTTTCCAGCCCTGCTCGCAGTCAGACTATTTAAACAGCTCTGCTTTAGGCAGCTGCAGGTAAATGTACAGATCCCAGCCTGATTACATCATGTAGACTGTGACACTACTTGAGTTCATTTTTTTAGCGTGACAGTTGCCTGGTGAGGAACTAACAGGAAACCCTATTGCCAAGGAGCAGCAGGCCCAGAAGGGAGCCGAGGAGGTGACTTATCCACTCCTTCTCAAATTTCCTGATGAGCCAAGAAGAGCAGGAATGAAACAACAACAGCTTGCATTTATATATCACCTTTTACATAGCAATATGCCCCAGAGCACCTCATGGGAGCAGATCATTATTCAGAGCCAAAAGAACTGTTGGTTGGTTTAAAGGCAGGTCCTAACAATAAGAGAGAGACAGAAAGGTTTAGGGAGTGAATTTGGAGCGTAGGACCTGTATGGGGAGAGCAGCACAGCTACCAAAGGCTGGGTGTAAAGGATGTGTGGGATTCTTGCAAAGCCAGAGTTTGGGGCACACAGAGTTCTTGGAGGGCTGTATAGCTTGAGGAGGCAGCAGAAACACTGAGGGGTGAAACCACAAAAGGATTTGGACGCATTGGATGAGACTGTTGAAATCAGGGCTTTGGTGAACTGAGTCTGAGGGATAGGGGTGTCTCAACCTGAAAAGTGGTAGAAGGTTTTTTTGTTTAAACAGGGGCAATGCATTTTGTATCTTTTCTTCACTAATGGAGGTTCAGAGCAGAACAGGGCTGACTTCATCCGCACATAGTCTACCAGGGTTCGATTTGTAACTGCTGGATGGGAGATGGAGACAGGAGGTGCTAGCCCAGGGCTAC